GACGAATCAAGCGAACCGATCAAGGCTACTTGGGAATTGGGAAGGTAGGCATTGCATGCATAAGCTGAAGTTACTCTAGAACTCCAAGGTTCCTTTACCTTAGAAATGCATTTGGTTCTTAATCTCCAGGGTTAAACTTTTGTCAAAGTATGTTAGTCCGTGTTGTCTATGATCTTTCAGATCGCAGAGGACTTTTTCCGAGATATTACCCATCATGTAGGATTTCCTCTCGGCCTTTCACTGATTTATTACGCATACATACATGGTTATCATCCCACTCTGTACACAGCTGAACCTCATTAAGTGGCCACCTATTAAGTGGTCATCCTCCATTAAGCGGCCAGTAATCAATGCCCCGAAATAATTGCAGAAAAGAATGGGAAATTAAACCTCTATTAAGCGGCCACCTCTATTAACAATCGCGACCACCTTTATATTCTGCCGTTCCAACAAGGGTTTTTCTATTTCTCTCACCTCTATTGAGCGGCCATAACAGACTAAGGTTGGCTATATTTTAAGAATGTATGATGAAGGAAAATAGTTTGAGATAGAAGAGGACGTCCTTCCCGTATACGCCACTATAGGGAGCCTGACCCCACCGGGGCTTTTGATTATCTGAATGAAAACCTTCACGTTTATAATACAAATAACATTCAATTTTTTTAAAGATGTACCGAGTGAAAAAAAAAACGGTGTATTTGGGAAATGGCGACATTTGATTACAACTAGTGGAATCATTTAGGAATTTGGGGTTACATTTATTTGAGAAACTGCTCCCAGTGAAGCCAGCGCGCGGTACTGGCTACCAAACAATACTTTAAAGCAGCATAAAGATTTTAAAGCGTAACGCTAGAACCCATCCCCGTCACACATCTTCTTCTCTGGTTTTGATCAAACAGAACCATCAATGAGTTCCCACCCGGGGGGAGAAACACCTCGAGCTGTTTACTTAGTAATGAGCACGGAATGCAAGAAGTTGTCTAATCTGCGTAGCACGCGTCAAAAGGGGTAAGGGATGGGACGGGGGGGAGGTGTCGTCACGCAACGCTTCCCCCCACTTGAGGAGGGTTGCGTGACGACACTAAAAACGGCTGTCTAGCTGTCGAACATATCCGGCAATCTTCGGAGAAAAACAGGAAGTATCAGACCAACTTCCTGAGTGGAAGAATCCATCAGTCTACAGCATCTGTTAAGATGTTTTGTGAGCTTTTTGGAGTGTTTTTTCGTTCAGAGAAAAATCAATAACTGTATATTAGATTTAATGTCACCCTCCATATCCTTTATATTAAAAAATATTAGTTTCAAATTTTCCTGGATGGCTGCATTTTGGTGAGAGCTATTTCTGGAAGAACTTACGTCACTTTTGTTAAGTAATTTGATGAAAATGAAACTGAAAGCTAAAGGAAGGACAAAATCCCTTAGGTTCAACTTTTTCGTGGTAGAAGGGTTGATTGTTGCTCTAGGTAGGTTTTGTACAAGCCCTGTTATTTTGTCAAGGAAAATGCAGTTGACTTTTATTCTTAAACTTGTCTTACAAAATATCATTTCCTCGTATAGACCCTTTCGTCGTGAGAAATCCAGCTAACTATCAAGACTACTTGGGAATTTCTAACTAAGGTAGGCATTGCATTAGCTGAAGTTACACTAGAACTTCAAGGTTCCTTTTAATACCTTAGAAATGCATTTGTTTCTTAAATTTCCAGGGTTAAACGTCTGTCAAAATATGTCTCTTTTTAATAAGGCCGTGCTGTCTATGATCGTTCAGATCACAGAGGACTTTTACAGCGATAGTACCCATCATGTAGGATTTCCTCTCCGCCCTTTCACTGACTTATTATGCATACATGCTTATCATCCCACTAAGCGGCCATCCTCCATTAAGCGGCCAGTAATCAATGCCTTGAAATAATTGTAGTAAAGAATAAGGAATTAAACCTCTATTCAGCGGCCACCTCTATTAAGCGATCGCGGCCACCTTTTTGCTGTTCCAACGAGAGTTTTCCCATTAAGCGGCCATAAAATATCAAGCTCCTAACAGAAGAAGGTTGGCTTTATTTTAAGAGCCAGGACGGCCTCCCCGTATACTCCATTATAGGGAGTACCCCACCAGGGGATTTTCGAAGCCCTCAAGTTTCTTCTATAAATGACATTCAATTATTAAAGATGTACCGAGTGAGCAGCAAATCCCTGGAAGAACAAAAACATCCCAGACTGGAGGGGGTGCGAATTTTATTATTCTTTAACCGAGAGAAAACACGGGAATCGTGATTTTCCTGACTCTTAGGCTGACTTGCTTCCTCCTAACGCTAATCGCTAAAAATACGGTGCACTTGGGTGATGGTGACATTTGATTACAACTAGTGGTATCCTTCAGTAATTTGGGGCTACGTTTATCTGAGGAACTGCTTACAGTGGAGCCAGCGCGCGCTACTGGCTACCAAACAATACTTCAAAGCAACATAACGCTAGAACCCTTCCCGTTCGCGTCACACATCGTCTTCATCGGTTTTGATCAAACAGAACCATCAATGAGTTCCCAGCCTGGGGGGAGAAAAACCCCGAGCTGTTTACTTGCTGATGAGCACGGAAAGTGAAAATTTGTCTGACCTGCATAGCAGGCGTCAGCAGGGGTCAGGGATTGGAAGCGGGGAGGGGTGGGGAATTTGATACCAGGGGATTAGTAGACGATTGAAACAAACTGTCTCAATCTCACTTAATGCGGAAATCATAACACATTGATAAAATTAAAGCGGACATAGAAAATTGGAAGGAGTTTGAAGGAAAACTATCTTTCGTACGGAACATTACGACTGAAATTTGTCACCAGTCCGGTTGTCAAGCAAGTTCCAGGGGTAGGGCGTATGACAGCACAACTGCGACAATTGAAATTCCCTTTTTTTTTTTTTTACTTCAAATCAGACACAAAGTGTATTTAATCCTCCTCAGAAGATTAGAAGGTCACTCATCAGACCAACTTCCTCAGTGAAAGAATCCATCACTCTACAGCATGTGTTATAAGATCTTTTGTGAGACAAATATATAAATGTGTGTTAGATTTAATGTCACCCGTTATATGCTTTATAATTAGTTCTCAAATTTTCCTTGATGGCCTCCTTTTGGAGGGTAGCTATTTCCCGGGAGGGGGAGGGGTACTTGGGTTAATTTTTGCTGAGTATGTGCCGCTGGCCTCTCAGATCCTCTACCCCATTATAGTCTATTCTGTGGCCAATTATAGACCCCATCTTAGTCACTTTTGGGCAAATGTACATGTGTAATTTTCGTGATCCGAACTTAGTCACTTTCTATTTTTATAAATTGACCCATTTTTTTTAGATTGTATGAAGAACACTTTACTTTTCATCTACAAGTACAAACATTCTGGTACGTTTGCTAATCGTAAATATGAAGAACTGTCTTACCCCCAAAAAATCCTAAAATGTGCGACCCCATTCTAGTAACTCCATTGAAAATGCGACCCCATTCTAGTCAATCCAGTCGTAAAAATGCGACCCCATCCAGCGGTACATCCCATTAGCCTCTTAAGAAAGTAACCCCCACCCCACTCCCGGGAGCTATTTCTGGAAGCACTTACGTCACTTTTGTTGAAGTAATTTGATCAAAAGTGAAACTAAAAGCTAAAGAAGCGGCCACCTCTATTAAGTGATCGCGGCCACCTTTTTGCCGTTCCAACAAGAATTTTTCCATTAGTGTTACCCCTATTAAGCGGTCAACAAGCACTTGACAGTCAAAGTTTGCTTTATTTTAAGAATATGGAAAACAGTCCGATATAAAAGGTGACGACCGATTGTGGACCAGTAATGCCGCCCCTGTCGCGTGTTTGTTTTAAAATAAAGTGGTGTTTCTCGGCTAAAGATTATGATAATTTCTGACATGGTTAATGACAAACCTCTATTGAGCGGCCAACCTCCATTAACCCACTTGCTGGTGCCCCGAGGGTGGCCGCTTAATGGAGGTTCAACTGTCCGTACTCATAGTTATTTTTCAAAATCATTTGTGTTAAATTACTAGGTCAACAAGCTGCATACAGAAATCTTTCTAAGCCAGCTCATCCTCGGACGGGTGTATTTAAAAAGAACTTGCAATCTTCTTAAGTGACGTGACACAAAGAAACTCAAAGAAGTCAAGATAGCAGAGCTATACTAAGGAAAACAGGAGGTAATACAAAAAAGGAGAAAGGAAAAAACTCCCCAGGTTTTTACACCGAGTTATACTTAAGCTGGAACCGAGCGGGGCCAGGGGTCAGGGGGATCTTCCCTATTTTATATCAACCATTACGAATTTCTGAAAATCCACAAGCTTAAAATAACTGTTGATTTCTCAGTGTTTTAGTGGTAAAGAAATAGGTTTTCTTTTCAGTTGCTAAACACTTGTATTCCGCTACCCAGAGATGTTAACCCTTAGAAATAAGTTTACTTTCCGAAATTTGAGTTTTCTGAAATGTTCCCGCTGGCCCGGTTTGTAGTTTGTTGACAACAAATTTATTTTTTCAGTGGAAGGTAGATGAATGTACAATGAGTAGATAGATTAAATTTATATACACCATGTTTAAACAATGGTAAATCTGTTTCTTTTTTTTTTCTTTTTAATTTCGATCAATATCACCAAAAGGAATGTTAATATTTTACTTTATTAGAGAAGACCCCAGTAAATCAAGTCATATTATAAAACGAAGAAAAACACGTAGAAGGACCCCTTTTTGATGCAAATCAAATGCGACTGTGATGGACAAAAACGAATAGTAAAGGAGCTAATAAATAAGTTTTTACTCCAGCTTTTAATTTTACTTTTCAGACCCTCTTCGTTATCGTACATAAAGAGAAATGGTATCAGCAGAAAAAAGAAACCACAATATGTGGCTGAGCTGAAATAGCAAAGCCAGCAAAAAATATATGACAACCACAGCAATTAATGGTAATATTGGCTACCCCTTTGTTAACTTTAAAGATTTCCAGCACGCCCTAGGCATCGCCTGTTACAGTATGGGAGATTTCCGGAAAGCCATAGAGTACCATGAACGACAGCTCAAAATTTCGAAAGAAGTGGGAGACAGGGCAGGACAAGGAATAGCGTGCGGTAATCTTGGCATCGCCTATCGCAGTCTTGGAGATTTCCAGAAAGCCATAGAGTACCATGAACGACACCTAGAAATTTCGAAAGAAGTGGGAGACAGGGCAAAAGAAGGAATAGCGTACGGTAATCTTGGCATCGCCTATCGCAGTCTTGGAGATTTTCAGAAAGCCATAGAGTACCATGAACGACAGCTCAAAATTTCGAAAGAAGTGGGAGACAGGGCAGGAGAAGGAACAGCGTACGGTAATCTTGGCATCGCCTATCGCAGTCTTGGAGATTTTCAAAAAGCCATAGAGTACCATGAACGAGACCTCAAAATTTCGAAAGAAGTGGGAGACAGGGCACGAGAAGGAAGAGCGTACAATAATCTTGGCAACGCCTATGACAGTCTTGGAGATTTTCAGAAAGCCATAGAGTGCCATGAACGACACCTCAAAATTTGGAAAGAAGTGGGAGACAGGGCAAAAGAAGGAAAAGCGTACGGCAATCTTGGCAACGCCTATGACAGTCTTGGAGATTTTCAGAAAGCCATAGAGTACCATGAACGACACCTCAAAATTTGGAAAGAAGTGGGAGACAGGGCAGGAGAAGGAAAAACGTACAGTAATCTTGGTATCGCCTATCACAGGCTTGGAGATTTCCAGAAAGCCATAGAGTACCATGAACGACACCTCAAAATTTGGAAAGAAGTGGGAGACAGGGTAGGAGAAGGAAGAGCGTACGATAATCTTGGCAACGCCTATTACAGTCTTGGAGATTTCCAGAAAGCCATAGAGTACCATGAACGACACCTCAAAATTTCGAAAGAAGTGGGAGACAGGGCACGAGAAGGAATAGCGTACGGTAACCTTGGCAACGCCTATTACAGTCTTGGAGATTTCCAGAAAGCCATAGAGTACCATGAACGACACCTCAAAATTTGGAAAGAAGTGGGTGACAGGGCAAAAGAAGGAATAGCGTACGGTAATATTGGCAACGCCTATGACAGTCTTGGAGATTTCCAGAAAGCCGAAGAGTACCATGAGCGACACCTCGGAATTTCGAAAGAATTGGGAGACAGGAAACGAGAAGGAGAATCGTCCTGTAATCTTGGCAACGCCTATCACAGTCTTGGAGATTTTCAGAAAGCTATAGAGTACCATGAACGACACCTCAAAATTTCGAAAGAAGTGGGAGACAGGGCAGGAGAAGGAAAAGCGTACGGTAATCTTGGCGTCGCCTATTACAGTCTTGGAGATTTCCAGAAAGCCATAGAGTACCATGAACGACACCTCAACATTTCGAAAGAAGTGGGAGACAGGGCAGGAGAAGGAAAAGCGTACTGTGGTCTTGGCATCGCCTATGACAATCTTGGAGATTTCCAGAAAGCCATAGAATACCATAAACGAGACCTCAAAATTTCGAAAAAAGTGGGAGACAGGGCAGGAGAAGGAGGAGCGTACGGTAATCTTGGCAACGCCTATGACAGGGTTGGAGATTTCCAGAAAGCCATAGAGTACCATGAACGACACCTCAAAATTTCGAAAGAAGTGGGAGACAGGGCAGGAGAAGGAAGAGCGTACGGTAATCTTGGCAACGCCTATGACAGGGTTGGAGATTTCCAGAAAGCCATAGAGTACCATGAACGACACCTCAAAATTTCGAAAGAAGTGGGAGACAGGGCAGGAGAAGGAAGAGCGTACGGTAATCTTGGCAACGCCTATCACAGGCTTGGAGATTTCCAGAAAGCCATAGAGTACCATGAACGACACCTCAAAATTTCGAAAGAAGTGGGAGACAGAGCAGGAGAAGGAAGAGCGTACGGTAGTCTTGGCAACGCATATCGCCGTCTTGGAGATTTCCAGAAAGCCATAGAGTACCATGAACGACACCTCAAAATTTGGAAAGAAGTGGGAGACAGAGCAGGCGAAGGAAAAGCGTACGGTGATCTTGGCAACGCCTATCGCAGTCTTGGAGATTTCCAGAAAGCCGTTCAGTGTTATAACAACAGCGTTACAGCCTTCGACCACATTAGGAGAAATCTCATATGTAAAGACGAATGGAAGATTACCCTTAAAAGTACGTATGATCATATTAATTTGAGGCTGTGGGAGCTGCATTTTAAGGAAGGTAAAGTCATTGATGCACTTTTAACTGCTGATCAAGGACGTGCACGAGCTTTAAATGATCTTCTGGAGTTCAAGTATGGCCTTAAAGGGTTACGCCCAGAAATAGGAACACTTTCTGAAAGACCAAGTGACTTTGCTAGTTACTTACCACCAAATACAGCTTTCATGGGTATCAGCGAGGGAGGAGTAGTTCTCTGGGTGAACGAGAAGGGAAATGAAATCAAAACTAGAAGAACTGAGATTGATAGGTCCGTCACAACCTATTTTCAGTCTCTATTGGAGGCTACACATAAAGAAATAGGTGTAAGAGCTGACGTTAATTGTGAAGATCGCTCATTAAGTAACCCGAGCGATAAAAAGTTAGCAGAAAAAAGATCAAGTAAGCCAAAGTCTCATCCTTCATATTTTGAGACAAAGTCATTGCAAACATTTTACAACGTTGTCATAGACCCTATAAGAGACTTACTCCAGGGCGATGAGGTTGTGATTGTTCCACAAGGACCTCTGTGTTTAGCGCCTTATGCTGCTTTCATGGACTTAAAATCAAAGCACCTCTGCGAAACGTTTAGAATTCGTCTGCTTCCCTCACTTTCTAGTCTGCGATTAATCCAAAATTGTCCAGCAGATTGGCACAGCAAGACTGGCGCTCTTCTTGTCGGCGATCCGTGGGTACAGGAGGTGGTTTATGAAGGAAAGCCGCTTGATCAGTTAATTTGGGCCAAGAGGGAAGTGCAGATGATTGGGGAAATACTTCAAATTGTACCTCTCGTTGGAATACAGGCAACAAAAGATGAAGTTTTAAGACGTATCTCCTCGGTTGCTTTGGTGCACATTGCTGCTCACGGTAAAATGGAAACAGGAGAAATTGCCTTGGCCCCTAACACAACGCGTTCATCCGTAAATCCAGCNAAAACTAGAAGAACTGAGATTGATAGGTCCGTCACAACCTATTTTCAGTCTCTATTGGAGGCTACACATAAAGAAATAGGTGTAAGAGCTGACGTTAATTGTGAAGATCGCTCATTAAGTAACCCGAGCGATAAAAAGTTAGCAGAAAAAAGATCAAGTAAGCCAAAGTCTCATCCTTCATATTTTGAGACAAAGTCATTGCAAACATTTTACAACGTTGTCATAGACCCTATAAGAGACTTACTCCAGGGCGATGAGGTTGTGATTGTTCCACAAGGACCTCTGTGTTTAGCGCCTTATGCTGCTTTCATGGACTTAAAATCAAAGCACCTCTGCGAAACGTTTAGAATTCGTCTGCTTCCCTCACTTTCTAGTCTGCGATTAATCCAAAATTGTCCAGCAGATTGGCACAGCAAGACTGGCGCTCTTCTTGTCGGCGATCCGTGGGTACAGGAGGTGGTTTATGAAGGAAAGCCGCTTGATCAGTTAATTTGGGCCAAGAGGGAAGTGCAGATGATTGGGGAAATACTTCAAATTGTACCTCTCGTTGGAATACAGGCAACAAAAGATGAAGTTTTAAGACGTATCTCCTCGGTTGCTTTGGTGCACATTGCTGCTCACGGTAAAATGGAAACAGGAGAAATTGCCTTGGCCCCTAACACAACGCGTTCATCCGTAAATCCAGCTAGGGAGGACTATCTCTTAACTATGAAAGATGTTTTAGATGCGCAGATTAAGGCAAGACTTGTTGTACTTAGTTGTTGTCATAGTGCTCGGGGAGAAGTCAAATCTGAGGGTGTGGTCGGCATCGCACGGGCTTTTTTGGGAGCCGGTGCTCGTGCTGTTCTGGTGTCCCTGTGGGCGATCGACGACGAAGCTACTATGGAGTTCATGAAAGTTTTCTACCAGCAACTAGTTCATGGACGAAGTGCCAGTGAGGCCCTGAATAAGGCCATGAAATCCATGAGAGAATCTGACCGCTTTAGCGCAGTGAAGTACTGGGCGCCGTTTGTTCTCATTGGTGATGACGTAACGCTCGAGTTTGAAGGCATCGATTAAAAAGCAAGGTATTTTGGGATATATTTAAACCTGGGATCATAATCCCTGCGTTTGCAATCGTCATTTTAACTAGCAATTTTTTTGTCGTTTTATCGGACAACGAACTCAATCAGTGCCAGGTGTAGCTTCAATCTGCCAATCACAGGTCACGTTGACAGTAAGAAAGGAGACTTTGTTTGGCAGTTAAACACTACAAATTAAATTTATTTCAAGTCTCATGATTTCTTTACATTTCAAAGTATCCCTGGTCCTGTTTGAGTTCGTTCCATTGTAACTTACAGTACAACCTGACATATGCAACCACCCAAAATTCCAAGATGAAATTTCTGGTCGCTTAGGAAAGTGTCCAGCGGTACTTACCAACCAAAGAAAACCGGAAATTCCGGTTAGAAAACCAAGTGGTTCGAGCCATTCCGTTTGGAGAGTCCCCAGGTATGTTGCTCTTTGAGTGAAAACATAGTTTTGGCATTTTTGGTGAGTAGGTGATATATGTCCAGGAGTAATCTTGTTAGCAAAAATTTGCTAGCAAATTGTTTTCGCAATTTTAGCAAAAAAAAAAAAATTCTGTAATCACAAGAAAATTTTGTGAGACACCCACTAGCAAATATCGCAAGAGTAGCATGAATGACCAATTTAAGAAAATTCTAGACTTAGAGAGAGAAAAGCCCAAGAACTGCCCCGAGAAGTCCGCAAATTTCGCAGAAATCGCAAAAGTAACAAGGATTTTTCTTGCTTTGTAAAGAGACTGAGTAACAAATATGGCAAACTAGCAGGAGTAACAAATTTAACAAAATTCTAGACTTAGATGCCATTTCATCGTCCTTTAATTTGCTTTGTGTCCGCTAAGTAATAATTGTAGAAAAGCCAACAGTGTTCCTTAACAAACAAAACTAATTGCTCGTTCTCTTTTCAATTATAGACATTTTACTTCAATGATGACTTTTAAAAGGATAATTAGTTCCTGAATAATGGTTATTTAACTTTAGTCTATCTGTATATCGTAATTTTACAACCGGACGAGATCTATTCATACGCCTTTTGTACAGGTGCACCTAGTTTTAATTGCAATTTAGCTGTCTATTTGAGAACAAATATTTCATTAAGTTGTTAGTCACATAGAGCAACAGGTGAATTTGAATATGAAAGGTTTTGCTGTCTAGCTTGCATTTTTTTAAATAGATCGGTTTTTGTTTAAGGTGAAAACTTGCGCTTCTTTCTGTTGAAACAGCCGCTCGCTGAACTTGCATTTTCATTCATAAATAATTTATTGTAACACTTTTTACGTAAACGATGTCCTGCTGACCTGGCTAGTTCTTGTTTTCAGTACTTCAGACTTTCTAAAATAGCAACAGTAATAAAAAAAGACTTCAGGTTAAAAATAGAGTTTGCATTTAGTTTTCAAAGTTCCTTTTGTCTTCATTGGTTGTAGAAATCATATTTAATATAAGTAAGCTAGTTTTTACTGTTTTTCGATTATTTTTGCTGTGTCCTTCCTGAGTTAATTATTGCCATTTGATCCGCTGAAGAATAAACGCTGTTGGAACCAAAGTTTAGTCCTGTTTAATCTACTGCTGTGTTTGCTGTACCAGTTAGTGGTTTGATCATATCCCAGTCCTACAGAGAAATGACGTCTCTTCCCCGCAAGCGTCGGAGTTATCATTAGTTAAATTCGATCGTTTCAGAGTGGAAAAACCTCCCGTCACAGCAATAGATAATAAGTTACATGTGATGACTTTTCCTTTTTCTTTTTCGTCAAGCCAATGCGAATTTAAAGTTGACCTAAACACAAATCTGTGGACCCTATAATTGACGATCCTTGCGTTGAACATCTTGAACTTTTCATGATCATGATATACCCCAAACACTAGCCTGCGTGGCAGGTGTTAAAGGGGTGGAGAAGGTGGAGTGTAAAAAAGAGAAGATGGGATCCCCTCTCCTTTTTTTCCTCCCTCCTTCTTTTCTTTCTCCCCCCCCCCGACCCCACCCTTTTAACCCCTGCTACGCAGGCTACCCAAATACTGATAATAAGGTCTGTTAATCTTAAGCCGTTCGACATTTCCCTTCCACAGAATGACGTAAAAAAAAAATGACAGAAAAGTCTCACAACAATCAGCCATTTCTTTGAAGTACGATTAAGTAACCGTTAAGAGAAAATTTTCAGGAAAGTTCTTTTCATTTGTGAGTGATTTATACTTGGGACTTCGTAAGACATTAAAATGGATTAAGTCCTATCCTTGATGGCGAGGATCGAGACCGCGGCATACCTTTCGCGGGGGATGGTTTTGGATTCATTTACACACCTCATACAACCCAGCCCAACATCTTAGCCATGAGTTTAATATCATGAGCCATGTTTTNCCCCCCCCCGACCCCACCCTTTTAACCCCTGCTACGCAGGCTACCCAAATACTGATAATAAGGTCTGTTAATCTTAAGCCGTTCGACATTTCCCTTCCACAGAATGACGTAAAAAAAAAATGACAGAAAAGTCTCACAACAATCAGCCATTTCTTTGAAGTACGATTAAGTAACCGTTAAGAGAAAATTTTCAGGAAAGTTCTTTTCATTTGTGAGTGATTTATACTTGGGACTTCGTAAGACATTAAAATGGATTAAGTCCTATCCTTGATGGCGAGGATCGAGACCGCGGCATACCTTTCGCGGGGGATGGTTTTGGATTCATTTACACACCTCATACAACCCAGCCCAACATCTTAGCCATGAGTTTAATATCATGAGCCATGTTTTTTTTTATCAAGCAAAAATGGCCGACGCCCTTCATTTTGACGCGCGTGGTTTTTATGCACGCCCAATAGGGCAGAAGTGTAGAAGCTGTTCGTAAGGTCTCTCCTAATTGGTCGGAGGAAACAATGACATGTCATTCTTTCTATTGTTTTAGTATTGTTTGGGGTCAGGGAAACGCACCATTGGCCCAATAGGGAGCTTAAGCAAAGGCGTTTTTGAACGGCGCATGTCAACCGGAAGTGAGGACTTTTCCATTTTAATGTGCCGTCATGTGACGCTACCACATTTGTGCTGTGACTGTATTTTCTCTTAATGAACTTGCTCATGAATGCAGAAAGTCCACTTGTGATTGGTGTGCGTCGCTCAAAAACGCCTTTGCTCAGGACAGTGTCCTTTGTGAACCAACACAAACAGAACTTCCGGTTTAAATTTCCGACAACTTCCGGTAGTCAATGGATCAGCATTTCCAAAAGTTCCCAAACAAACACGACAACCTCGTGAGGTAAATCCAAACTTTTCGAAAATTTTTTCTAAGTAGTTTTTTTTTCCATTCAGCCCTGTTCCTAGAACTTACAGGGAGTTAAGGTGGGAGGGGGGGAGAGTCAAAAAATCATTCCAAGGGAGAAGTTGACGGGTGGCGGTGATCAATGTACCTCTCGGTCACGCTTTCGTTAAATAAAAAAAAAGTAAACACCTGTCAGGCTAATAGTTTTACATGATTTGCTCCTTTAGCAGACGAGGCTCCTAGGCTTCAAATCTAACACTAGCATAATTTTTGTCAATTTACTATTACTAGCATGCGCTGGATTTTCATATTTTTTACCGAACAAAAGCACTGCTAGCATATTTTCACTTTTGGCTAGTTTTGCAGCCCACAAGTGTCCCGAAATCAGCGCTACATCCAAATTTAAGTTACAAAAAAATTTTTTTTGTTTGCTTATTGTCACTGGGACCAGGGTCTTACAGGAAGTGACCCAGGAGTTTTTCCTCAGGATTCAACGCATCTGCATAAAAAGTTCGGTTTATACGATAACGAAAACGTCCGCGTGCTGGTTTTCGATATTTTCGCGTGCTGGTTTTCGATATTGATTGAATTTTTGTATAAAAGCTGCCAGACAATGAATTACGCTGTCTTTGAGTAGTCTAGACGAAATAAGGCCCGGGGAGTACTCCTTGGAATTCTTGGTGGGGGTATGCGAACCCAGTTCTCCAAATCGTGACCCTATTTTAGACCAAAGAAATGTCATTTTTCACACCGGTTTCATACCTGGCTTCTAAAATCCATACCTGTTTTCAAACCTAGCCTGATAAATTATCAAGATCAATATATAAGGTTTATATATAGAGAGAGAAAACCGTTTACAGTAGTACAGCTCATAAAACGGTCATAAATCGGCCCATGAGCCACACAGGAGAGATATAACACACATTTTATGCAAGGTAAGCTATTTTTTATTGAAATCCTTTCATTTTCGTGGGTTACAGAAATGATAGGTTTTTTCCCCACACAATCCTTATATTTCGAATGTTACGCAACAATACCGATGCTCGCCGATACTCGTATCTCGATCTTCGGCTACCTGTGATGTAAGTGCTACAGTTTGAGAGCACAATCTATCAAAGCCTAACCTGCGATCAGGCGTTTTTTTTTTTTTTTTCAAGTGCGGACGAGGCGAGAGGCGTGAGAGACATAAAGGGATAATAGGGAGAGGGCATGATTTCAGGCTAATCAAAGCCAAGAGAGAATATCTTGTAAAAGCCTTCTCCTGATATGATAAAATTTTAAGAAGACACAAGAATATAACAAAAAACAAAAGAACTATAAACACTTTAATAATTTTGTCAGTCTTCTCCAGCATCCGCCCATGTAGCCTGGGTACGAGAGAAAGGACCATCTTCGGAACTCATACCTTGGCTCCTACCAGATGAAGGTCAAAATGATGCAACGTGGTCCTGCATGTGGAAAGTTGGAAGTTGTACGAACGTTCGTGTTTTGATACGAATAGTAGTGAAAATGTAAATTCTCAGTTGTTTTTTCGCCTGTTTGAAACCCTATGGGAATTTTATTAAATTATTAATGCTCTTGACCTCGTAAACACTGCCTTTTTTTAACTCCGGTGAGGAGAAAATCGCGTTTCTTTTAGCTCCATGTGCAATGTGAAGTCGACGACGACCATTTTTTGGATGCGTTTTCATGGCCGATAATTTGCTACAAGGGCTTCAGGCGGCCGCAAATGCGACATCACAGGCAGGGG